CCTCCCCCCCATCGGCGCTGTCACCTGCCGCTTCCCCCCTCCCCCGCCCCTGCCCCAGTCCCTGCCCCGGGGCTGCGGGCCCGGCGGTGACGGCGCGTTTGCTTCCCCCGCAGGACGGAGCTGCTGGATGCGGACGAGGCGCCGCGGAAAATGCCGCTGAGGGACAAGTGTTGTCAGACTGACCATCACCACCACGGATGCTGCGAGCCAGGTGCGGCTGGGATGGGCCTGGAGGGGCCGGGGCTGGTTCTGCCGAGCTGCTGGCAGGCAGGCTGCTTCCCCAGAGCTGGCGGGGGGGCCTGCCGTGGAGGGGAGGGAAATGCTTCATTCTTTCCACCTGTGAAGCTCCCTCGCGTGCAGAGGCGGTGGGACCTGGCCGTGTCAGGGTTCAAGGGGGGGATTGGAGTGGCTGCGGAAGGAAAGGGGCGTCAGGTGCTGTTGGAGATGAGGTTTGGGCATGGAGATGTCTAGGTGTCGATGCTGGAGGCTGCAGGTTTCTTTGGGTAGGTGTGGTGCCTTTTATTAGACCAGCTGAGTACAGGTTTCCCTCACCGACCACGGTTTTGAGTATCCACACTTAGTATTCTATATATGGTGGTAGCCAAAATGGGATACGGTTTTGAGTAATCACGGTTTCCCGTGGCTGCGTATCAGCCCACCACCTGCTCTTTTCCCCATAAGCCTTTTGTCTTGCCAACCACGGGAACCTTCAGGAAGCTAACCCCACGGTTGGCGAGGGAAATCTGTAGTTAGAACAAAGTTTTTTGCAAGCTGTCTGGTGTATTTGCCCTTCTTCAGGCATAGGAGGTCTCTGCTGTTCTGAGACTGCAAGGTGGAGAGGAGCAGAGGAAGAACCCAGGGTCAAGTGCAGTGCGCTCTCCCTTTCCTCATCTGCCCTCTGCCACCATTTGACACAGGACTCTTAACATGGCAAAGGGAACCGAGGGCCTAGGCTACCAAGTAAACTGTAAGCCCCTTTTCAGAACGGGCCATTGACAACATGTTACTGATTTTTTGGGACAGAGGATAATAAAAATAGGGATGGGAGTGACAGTCAAAGTAGTGAACCCGGGGGGACACTGAGCAGAGCCCACCGGATAGCACCTGCTGGCCCTTGAACAAGGCCATGGAGCTAGTGGACTGCGTGACGCAGGCCTGTTTGTTGCCTCAACACTGTGGGCCATTGCCTACAAGGAAACTCTATAAGTCTCCCTTAGAAAGGGAAGCCACCAGGTAGATAACAACTGATTGCTTGGGACAGCTAAAGACTTAACAGTGACAGTCAGAGGTTTAAAGCTAGTGTGCCGGGGGGATGCTGAGCAGAGCATACCAGACAGTGCCCACTGGCCTGTAAACAAGTCCAGGGAGCCAGCGGACTGTGTGACGTAGGTCTGTTTGCCACTCTGGGGATTCGTGGGCTAAAGGCTCACCAAGAGAAACTACCAGCCCCCCTCAGAGCAGAAGGCTACTAAAAAAGTGGCAAGTGATTGCTTTGGACCAATGAGAAGACAGGGACAGTAGTGGTCAGAGGTTAATAACCAATGTGCCAAGGGGGGATGCCAAGCAGAGCACACTAGGCAGTGCCTGCTGGTTCTTGAATGAGTCCAAAGAGCCAGCGGACTGTGTGATTGTAGGCCTGTTTGTTGCTTTCAGGGGTCGTGGGCCTAAGCCCACCAGATAAACTATTAGCCTCTCTTAAACAAGGAGGTTACTGGAAAGGCAGCAACTGATTACTTGGGACAAATTATAACAAAACAGGGACAGGAGTGATAGTTAAAGGTTAATAACTAGTTTGCCATGAGGGGACACTGAGCAGAGCACACTTGACAGTGCCCAGTAGCTTTTGTGTCAATCCAAGGAGCCAGCGGACTGTGTGACACGGCAACTAAGTTGGATGTACTTAGGGTCTGACCCAGTAAGTGGCCCTTCTTATGTTCTTACCTTAAGAGCAAGCAATATTTGTATGCCTGAAAATTACCAAGGTTTTCCAAAGCTTCAAGTTCCCTTGTAAGCAATTAAGTTCACAAATGGAAATATTTTAAAGAACATTACTATGTACTGGGTCAAGCTGTGGGTCCATCTTGCCCAGTATCCTGTGTCGCACAGTGGCAGAGAGCAGATGCTGAAACGGAGAGTGAACTGGATATGACCAGGACTTTTTTTTCCCTCTGTTCTTCTCTCACTTCCAACCTCCAGCATATAAGGTCTAGGTATATTTATCTTACACCTGCTTATCCCATGAACATTCATAGTTTTTCAGGAAAAAGAAACAAATGTGCATTTGTTTATTTGTATTAAATAAGGTTTGTATCTTGTTAGTGATTTTTTTTAATAATGATTTTATATACCATTTATAGTTGAAAACTTAAATCTGCCTCCTTCTGTTTCTGCTTCCTTTTGTCTCTTGCATATTGTAAAGTTGTTGGCATGATGCTTGTATTTATATTTGACAAATTTAGTTGTTCAAAAACAAAACAAAAACTAATAGCAGGAGTGTGGGTCTGCTGACTGGTAGTGTTAGCTTACAAAAGTTTGAAGGGAAGAATAGATTGAATAGTCTTGACAATAAAGAAATGGTTCTCTATAAATGAATGCTTCTGAGTTACATCAGTGTTTTAAAAGAGAGAATACACATTTCTTGCCTTAAATTTAACAACTATGCATTATACACAGTTGACATGTGAAAGTGTTGATGTCAGTGGGTGTGGCACTTGCACATCAGGGGCAGTGTATAAGTTGAAGTGTCCTCTTTTTGAAGAATGGCAAGTAGGGTAGTAGGGTACAATATGTCTTTGTGTAGGAGATCCCCAAGCGATTAGCTGATTTGTAATGGTTGTTATGCGTTCATGTATCAGTATATTATTATGCCAGCATAGTTAGGTGGAGTTTTTATTCTTTCCTTCTTTTCTTCAGCTGTTTTCTTTCTTAAGTCTTCTGCAGTTTGAATTGGCTTGTAACCTTGCATCACTAAGGCAAATTTTTCCTTAAAATGTATCTATGTTGTTTATGTTTTGATGAGAAAAAATTATGTTACTTTATTTATAAATGTGCTTATCCTACGTGTGGTTTGCCTTTTGTCTGGAAGGGAAAAATCAGTTGAAAACAAACCATTCAGTCATTCAGGAACTAAGTTTTAAAACACAAAATTAATTATGTTGATAAGGTATATTGTCTGTAGAAGATTCAGCTGTAGCAGTATCTGCTATTTTAACTTGATATTCACAGGCATAATATCATGTTATTAGTGTCCATAAGTCAGCTTTGGTAAAGCTTACAAAGAATAAAGTGGGATTCAGTTAAATTTAAGACACACTTTTTTTCTAGGTGGAGTATAACTTCTGAAGTGTACTTGATAAAAAGAATGCCTTGACGTGGTATTAATATTGAATTAGAATGGCATTATACTAATTTCCAATATTGATATCAGATAAAGGCATGATTTGTTTAACTGCAAAACAGTATCGATATTAACTTTTGGCCTGTTGCTGAACTTGTTATAAATACTGATTATCTGTATATTGGGTAAGTGAATAAACCATGTGCATGCATGGCATCTTTCAGCTCCAATCTCTGCTTTGTAATATCATTGTACTCCATTTAACTGCATAATAATTGGGACCAGAAATCTTGAAGGGGAAGTAGCTGTCAAAGGGCTTCCATTAGAAGCTTTGAAATTGTTGGGAGCTAATCGCTCCTGGAACTGACCAGAAGAAACCTTGAAAATGACCAAAACTAATCTGTTTCTAGGCTGCTAATGCTACAAGGTAGTCCTGAGTCTGTCATCTTAAAGGCAATATGCTGTACATATTTATTTAAGTATATGTGCACTTGTTCTGATTGTTTCTGATTTTGGTTTGAATGCAGTCCTCGTGTAAGGCTTGACATCTGCTATCAAAGGTACTGGGATATCCCAATACGCATGCTGGGCCTTGCATTTGGCGTTTCCAACTTTTTTGTTCAGCTGAGTTCTTGTGATGCTCAAGACTTTGGCCCTATGGGTCTGATGAATGGATCAGGCTCTGTGCTGTCTCAGTGTAGCATGCAGGGCCACAGCCTGAATTGCTCTCCACGGATCCGTGGGGGAGCCCTGCAGGCCAGAAAACATGGTGCCAGGGACTAGGTCTGGCCTGCAGACTATGGCTTGAGCACACCTGATGTAAACAATAGCTTAATTTCTTTTAATATTTATTTAATATTTATTTATAGCCTAACTGACTGTTTCATAAAGTATGTAGTCTAAGTTGAAAGAAATCCCTAGTGAGTCATATGTATGGAAATATACAAAATAGAGGGTGATTATTTGTATCCATGTTTAAAACATGCATAAGGTTTTAAAAGTGAAACTTAAAAAATCTTGCAATATACTGTACATATTAGGAAACTTTGATGGAAAACCCATTACAGTACTCTGAAATTCATTTTAGCAGCAGGAAATTGAGGTAGTAAGAATTCCAACAGCTTTCACAAACTTCATTTAAAGGTTACAGTGAATAATGTTTAGTACTCATTTTTTTTAAACCATTTTGTTGGAAAAGAGATAACGATTTTACAGTAATACTGTCCTGGTTTTCAGCCAGCTTCAGGTATTGATTCTGTGTGTTCTGAGTTTTCTCTAATGCTTTGTGATCCTTCATGTCTCGTAGTGCATATGTTGGAACCTGGTGATCCTCCTTTGTTACAGCAACCTATGCAGACATCAAAATCTGGTATTCAACAAATTATTGAGTGCTTTCGATCAGGTATGAATGTTTTGGGGCTTTATGGAGTTATTTCTTTGTTTTTAAGTATGTTAGTAAAGTAAAGGCTGACTTACTACACACAATTCCAAGGTTTTTGTGACTATGTTTTAAGCACTGCGCTTATGTGAGATCGCTAGTTCTTATTAAAAATGTTTTTATGCAAGGTATTAAAGGCACGGGCCCTTCTACATCATCAGCGTTCTTAAACTTCTTTTAAAATAATTGCTTTGCTTAGGAAGGTTCATAAAAACTGCTGTTGTGGCCTAGCTGTTATTTCATGGCTATAAGTTCTCCTTGGGATCCATAACTGGTTCTTATCTTTGCTTGCTGTGTTTTTCATTGAATGTCTCCACTGTTACATAGATAATAGCACTGTTGTATAGTGCTACTTGTAAGATGGTATGTGGTTGTCTCCAGTTGCTTCTCATGCCAATGAACATATGTACCTGACAGTATTAACTGAGTGTCTGGGTGAGAATTCACAAAGTGGGTAATTAGGAAATGTAATGTATTTCAGGTACATTTGTAATGGATCAAAGCACCTGTTTATTTCCATATTTCAGAGTACAAAATCTTAGTGGTCCAGTTCATCATGAGAGTTTTACAGGAGATTTATTTAATACCAGTATCTATATTACGAGATTTTTTTCCCCCTTGATCTGTAGGAATAGAACTGCATATATGATTTTTGAGGATTTCAGTGAATTATCTTCTACATAGCTGAACTAGCTCCTTCAGGTTTTCTGTCATACAGTGGATATTCTCCCTTCATTTGCTTTTAATATGAATGACCAGAAGGAAATTGGGATGTGAAATCTATCCTCTGTGACGTTTTAAGGCACATTTGGATGGGATAGGGCTTCATGCTTGTGCATGCCATTCTCACACTTTAAGCAGATTAGCTGGAGTGTCCTCTGGTAGCAGGGTGAACTGATTTCAAGTAATATGTCCCCAGGCCATTTCCAGAATGTTCTCTTTGGCACATCCAACTCTTTCACTCTTTAAATGTCCACATAATAAATCCATGGTTTACCACTACATCTCCATTCATTTGCCCTGGGAAAATCAAGCAGAAAGAAAGAGGCCTTTCACTATTATCTAACTGGTCACCATTGAAAAAACTTGGATTTGCTGAAAGATACTGAGAGAAATTTTAATTTAAACTTTTAAAGGAAACAATTCTTAAAGGCATTTAAAATGCCTAGGTGGAACCTGATGGATTGTGTTTCTATTTCAACTTGGTGAATATCTGGATAATAGTAGTGGTGATAACAGTTTTTGTCAGCCCACATCAGTATACCTGATGTGGGATGCAAGTGCTGACTTTAGTGTCATTTTTTTGAAATTTGAAGAGTCATTCATCTTGCATTGTAGTGTGATGCTTAATTATTCCATTGGCATGGCACTGGTTGGCACCAAATCTGGCCAAGAGACAAGATGGACTAAATACCTGGAATCATAAAAAATAAACCAAACAGCTATAAATGAGAGTGCTGAGGAAAGCCAAAAGAGAAGCGGGTGTTTTTTTTTTATTTAGTCACTTAATGAATTTAATTCTGTTGGGTTTTTACTGTTCTTAATTATACTTAATTTTCTGAAGGCTGTGCAAGTGTAATTCTAGGAGATATTTGCATTCATTTTTGTGCATGAGAGACAGAGAAGGCTAGAAGATGATCAGGAGCACACAAGTATACATCAAGTTAGTTAATGGCAAATTTGTATGCTAACTACATGATTCATCCTATTGGAGGGGAAAATGGTGTAACCCAGTCGAGAGAGAGGATCAAAGAAGAAAGTAAGTTATGGGGAAAAAGAGACTGTCCAGGAACAACTTAGAGCCCCACTAGGCACACAAACTTCATTGTTCTAGATTCACAAATATTTTTTTTCAAAGCACTTATTTTTATAATTACAAAGTAAAATTTTAAAACAGGAATGTGGCCATTAAAAACTTATGTTCCTAGGAGCTGTTATCACAGTGACATTCTGCTAAATGTCATCCTTTGTAGAATGCTCTTTTGCTATTACTACTTGAAAGCAAAGGAATTCCCAAATATAAGATGCTTATCCCACAAGTTAGGAGATTATATATATGCGCTTTGGGTATCCAGGGAATGTATATAGCAGTAGTGGCTGAGGCTACATAGGCATGTTCAAGTGATTTTGGGAAAATTCTCAGGTTTTTTCTCCTGGTAGAAAAATGTACCTGGAGATACCTGAACAGACATTCAAATACTAAGACCCAGGCTGCTCAGAGTTGATCTATCCCCTCGCTACAATTTGGCATTGTCAAGGGGTTGTATTCCGCTCCCTGCTCAGCTGGAGTAGCAGTGTCCGGTGAGCAGCATACTCACTGGACACTGGCTCACTGGAATAGCAGTGTCTGGGGTGGAGCTGGGGGTGAGGGGAGAAGGGGAGGAGTAGAGCAAAGCATCCTTGGGTGCTGGAGAACTGTGCTGTGGCTTCTCTCGCACGAGAACATGTCCATTTGCTATCCTAGAAGAAACTTTCCTGGGAATGATAAAGCCCTGGTTGTTCTTAGGTTATTTTTCTCTTGGAGCAGCCATTTTTGATCTGCGAGAAAAATCCTGAACATCTGTAGAGTCATGATTTCTCCTGGGAGAGCAGTGACTTTGCAGGAGAAACTGAATGTCTGTGTGTGGCCTGAATGTCTATCTTTGACTTTAAATAAAATTCTCAGGTGATTGGAACCTTTAATTACTGAACAAGCAAATTACTTGTCAAGAGTAACGAGAAGGGGTGGGGTGTTAGGGTTAGAGTTAGGCCCACTCCTCCCACCTGCCCCTGCCACTGCTTCAGGGACTGGCCCACTCCTTCCCCCCCGCCACTTCTGTACTGGGTCTGCTCCCCCTGGCCGGGGCTGGGGCCGCACCCACTCCTCCTATCCCGCTTTGGGTATGGGGCCTCGCCTCCCCACTCTGTCACTGCTGCTGTCTCCAGGGAGCAGGGCTGGAGGTGGAGGAGTCAGCAGCACTGGCCTTGCCTCCTTGCTCTGTCCTTGCTGTCATGATGGTGTGCCGCTGCTGCCTGTCCAGAATGCTGTTGAAGCAACTCTGATTAGTTGCCTGAGGCAGACAGACAGACAGACTAAGGCTTTTATAATATCTATAATATTATTATATCCAGGTTGAATCTTTGTACAGAAGGATTAAAATTGATGACAAATACAAAGAAGAATTTGGCAGTTTCAGTTTTGAGTTGAAATGGGGAATAAAGTTATAGATTTGTTCATTTGATTTGGGCATAGGAACTCTCTCTTTTTTTAATCTCTGTCCCCTATATGTGTTTGCACAAAAATGTTGCAGGCTGTTGCTCCAATTGTATTATGGATATTCAGTTTAATTGGAAATAAACAGTTATATTATTAATAGCATAGCTGTTTTGGATGTTCCAGTGAACTGTTTGCTTATGAGTGCTGATAAGCAAATCTTTAAGAATGGTGGGGGACAGCTTGTGACCTAGTCACGGTTGTGGCTGCTGATTCTCTCTCTTGTGTCTTGCTGGTCAATGTAGAGGGCTGATCTCATAGCCCCTTATTGCAGCCTCTGCTTACCACTGCCACAGAGTGCTGCTGATTCCTATTGCCAGTGGAGAGTGCCAAATTGGGCAGTGAGAGTAAATGGAGGCTGCAGTAGTGGGGTGAGGGTGTAGTCCTTGTGGGCCAGGTCCATTTTTTTGCAGGCTGGGACTGGCCTGTGGACTACAGGTTGCCAATCTCGGGGCTCGGGAGTCATGCTGTCTCTTTAATTTATTGTCTTGATACATCTTGTATTTCTCTGACCCAGCTTCAAGAAGGTTGAGTGGAGCATGCCTCCATCTCAGCCTTGCCTCTACCTGTGTGGTTAAAGCATGCTTCCGGGAGGGTGGAGATGAAGGTTTGAAGCTAAAGCTGAGGTGGGCCTAAAATCCTGGTTGCCCACTTTTTGGACAAGCTGTAACTACTAGGTTATTCTATGGTAGTGTTAGTGATACTGTACCTGCTATGGTCCAGGATTTAAGCAAGAGGCAAAAATTTATTGGGATGATGACTTTTGTTGGACCAGCTACATGGTTAGAATACAGTTAGATAAGTTTTCAAATGCAAGACATTCTTCATCACGTCTGAGGAGGGAAGCAAGGACAGCTTGAAAGTAAGAGCTGAGTGCTGTGCAACTGGAGGTGCGGAGGGGGAATTCCCAGTTAGCAGACGAAAAGCAGCTGTGAGATGAAGACATATCAAAAGGGAAGGGGATCATTAATATCTCATGTGTTTAGGAAGAATGCCAGAAATTGGATAGATTATTATTTTTTGACACTATATTGGTATTCAGTCTTTGTTTCTTAGTGTCCTGGCAGTTTATGGATTTTTTTTCTCAGGTTTGTCTTTTAAATGTGTTTGTTAGATGGTGAAAAATGTGCTCCTACTGATGCATACATGTCTGTCCTTTACATTTTTTCCTTTACATTTTTTTCTATGAGAGTTCATTCTGGTACGTAGTTGCTGTTTAGTTTCCTCCACATAGTTACCATGAGGGTGTATGGTGTATTGGATCAGTTATATCATATTTTCAGAAAGGCACGTGTTGGATCCATGCCTTCTAATCAGTTCATTGTGGGGAGCATTGTAGCAGTGGAGATGTGCTGACAGGTTAAGCATCTCATGCAGTTTCCCAAACTTTTGTTACTTGGGGGACACATTTTTCTGGGTTAAAATTGGCAGCAAGCTTTTATCTTACACCAGAAAAATGAGTGTGTGCGGGGGTGGGGAGCAGTATCAGTGTTAGTGGTACAAACATAGTTTGCAGATGTCTGATACTGCTGCTGCATCTTCCAGCTTCTGGGAAGAAGCATGCATGCTGCAGCTGGGGAGCATGGAGCTGGAAATAGCAGCAGCACAGAAGCTGGGAAAGCCCTCTTCAGGGGAGGTTGGTGTCAGGCTGAATTGGGGCAACAGCTTCTCCAGCTGAGTCTGCAGTCACTCCACTGTCTGTCCTGGGCTGAGGAGGGGAGTTGTAAACAATCTTGGTGAGAGCAAGGACTCTCCTTGGACCTCAGGGACTAGGTGACAGTACTTCCAGCTGCCCACAGTTGGCTTGAATCTGGGAGGGGAGGCAGGGGGAACTCACATCTGTCTGCCCAGCAGGGGGGCATGACATACAGGCAGAGCAGGGCACAGCAAAGTAGAACCAAGTACCCAGGTGTTTATTGCAGATGATAAAAACATCACTCTGCCTGTGTTACACAGATTAAGGCTTATTGATGCAGTTTTCTAGAAATTCTTCCTCCAGGTGGCTTACAAAGGTGTTTGGCATATTGAGAGGCCATCATTGTGCCCATAGCTGTGTTTATGGTTTGGAGGAAAAGTTGCTAACTGTGGATATACAGTAACATCCCACACCATGAAACATAGCTGCCTGCTTAAAATACATTCAAGAACATGGAGCACACTCAGATTTGCAACATATTGCAAAATAGTCCACTTCATCCTTACGCACAACAACTTCACTTGTAATGACTGAGATTTCTGCAGTCCTGGGGACTGCATGTAGCACATATCAGCTTTGCCCTTATGTGGTGCATGCAGCATGTGGGGGTGACCTGTGGTGCACGCTTCATGTGGTGCCCAAGCTGGACTGGCCTGTATGCCAGATCCAGTGTGTGGAGCTGGTTTGTGGGCCTAATCTGGAATGGTCCTGGATCCAAACTCAACGGGCAGCACTGCAGGCTGGATAATAGGGCTTTATGAGCCACATCTGGCCCATGGACTGTACTGACACTTTTGATTTAGTAGAGAAAGGGTGGATTCAAAAATAAATTTTAAAATTTTTTTGTATTATTCTTTACTGAGGAAGACTTTAGAGATTAGAAGTGTGATAGAGGCTCAAATTCTATTTTCTTATATTAGTGCAACAAGACTAAGCTTAGGTCAGGTGTTTTTACATTCCTGAAACTTGCCTTATTATTATTTTTCTTTTTCAGTAAAAGTGCCTCCTTAGCATGCTGAGGTACTTGAAGAAAAGGGGTCTATAAACTTATTTAAATGGCTTAAATTGTTTTTCATTCTGTGCATCTGACAGGAAGTTATATCTTATTTACCAATACTGTAGTATAAACTGCCTACATTATAGTCCTTTTGCTGTTAACTCTAAAGTCAGTGTTTGAAAATTTTACCTTCAGCCCAGTCCCTTTCTAATAGGCAAACCAAGAATTTGTGTAATAAACTTAAAAGTGAAGTGGGAAATGCGATTTTGACTTGAGTTTTACTATGCTTTAGCATTAAAACTTTTCCTGATTTTAAGTGTATTTTTTGGTTTCTTTTTTCCAGGAACTAAACAACTTAAGCATATCTTATTAAAGGATGTGGACACCATTTTTGAATGTAAATTGTGCCGCAGTCTCTTCAGAGGACTACCAAATTTAATTACTCATAAAAAGTTTTATTGTCCTCCAAGTCTTCAGATGGATGACAGTAAGTTTTGTTCACTGAAATATTAAATTTAGAATTGAGAGAATTTACATTTTTTTGTTCTATATGAAAATATATTTGAAACAAGATGCAATTAATCTTAACTAGGTAAATTAGAGGATCAAAAATGAAAAGCAATGAGTACCTCATTCTTATTGGTTCATCACTCCAGAATCATTCTCTTGATCTCAATCTTTGCTACAAAGTTAAGATGTTGTTGTAACACGTACTAGTTTTAATCTAGTAAAACCAGTGAAGAAGTGTCAGAACAGGCTTTAGCCCATGTGAGCGATTAGATGAGGGTCCTTGGAGATAATTGTCCTTTGGCTAGTGTGTGCTGAAGCTGGTGCGGCTGTTTTTTTGCTACAGTTAATTATTCTATCTATATTAGGCTGCTGTGTTCCAGTATCATCCCTGTTTTGTGCTGTAGACATATTCTATGTCAGAAACTCCTTTGTGATAAATAGAAGTCATTTTGTACAGAAAATGAGGGGAACCAATATGATTCAAGTTAGATCTTGATTTTACAAATATTTGGGGGTATTTTATGCTAGGATTTTATTGGACTGAGATTGGATCATTGTGTAAAACCTTTAAAACCCTTGTGTCAGACAAACGATAATTGAAGGATTCTGTATAGACAGTGTGGGAGGGAACCTGATGGGTGAAAAAAATGACTTGCACAGTGTTGTAGTGACAGAGCTGGGAATACAGGCCAGATGCCATAAGTTAATCTTATCCCTTAAGTCTGTCCATTTGACCATGTTGCTTTTCTCCAGCTGATGGGGTAGATGAGCTAATGGTACACTGAAGCTTACATGAGACTGGGATTTTTCTCTTGACTTTGCCACTGGCCTGTAGGGCGGGGGTGGGCAAAAGGCAGCCCTCGGGCCTGATGCGGCCTGCCAGCCCATTTTATCCGGCCTGCGGCGCCCCTAAAAAATTTAGAAAATTAATATTTATCTGCCCCTGGCTGCCTGTCATGCGGCCCTCGATGGCTTGCCAAAACTCAGTATGCGGCCCTCCGCCTGAAATAATTGCCCGTCCCTGCTGTAGGGTGACCTGGTGCTTTTATTTTTTTATGCTTCAGTTTCTTTGTTATCCTGGTTTTACTAATAACTCTTATTTTCTTTTGTAAAGTACTTTTGGATTTATTTCTTGATTTATTAGATTTATATGCTTCTCTCCACAGAAGAGGGTCATGGTGGGTTATAATAAAAAACAAACAAGATAAGGTATTAAAACAGATATAAAATATTAAAATAGAATAATATAAACAAACATGCCAAAGTATAATCCCTCCTGCTAAAACCTTGTCCAAGAAAATGTTCTTACAGTGCTTATAATCAGGGATCCTGGTTTTCTCTGTTTAAAAGCCACAACTTGCATAATAAAAATATTGCAAATTCTCTGATTAAAAGCACCCAAATCCATGTTTTTTCCATGATTAAAGTGAAACACCACTATATAGGTATTAGTTTAACACAATATTTGATTGATATATTTACAATTTTAAAGCAATTTGGAAGCCTACCAGTGCCTCAATCACTATAATAAAATACATTCTAAATGCCTATACATTTTGGCATTTGATTTTGGGTTTTTTATTATGGAAAATCAGAGCTCTCCCTGCCCCCTTCACTTGCCAGGATTTGGGTCCAGCTGTGGTTGTTCCCCCCACCACTTTGTAGTGCTGAGCAGCCCTGATATGCTGGTGCCCTGTCCGTGCCATTGCCCCTCACTCCCTACCCACAGCCTCCCCGGCCCCTCCCTGCACCCCTGCTGGTGCCCCTCACTCCCCACCCACAGTTCCCTGGACTGTGCTGGTGCCCCTCACTCCCCAACTACAGCTCCCTTGCCCTGCTGGTGCCCTTTGCTCCCCACCAACAGCTTCCCCACTCCTGCTGGTGCCCCTCACTTGCCACCTGCAGCCTCCTGTTCCCCCAGCCCTGCTGCAGGGGGTCCCCAGCGGCCAGGGCTGCGAGGTGAGGGACCCAGGTCCATAGGTCCCTGCCCCGCACAGCAGTACCTGAGTCCAGCTGCTTCCCATAGGAAGTGGCTGCTGTTGCGGCGGAGCAGAGCGCAGAGCCTGGCTCTCCCTCCCCCACAGGCAGCACGATTGGAGTGGAGCCCATCGTGGGGCATGAATGTGGGCTGCCTGCTGCTGCCTCAAGCTCCCTGCCCTGCTGCATTCCCCTTGGGGCCTCTACATCCCAGCAGGCAGGACCCAGCGTGGCTGGGCAGAGAAGCTCGATGCAGTCTCTGGGAGCTCTTTACCTCCATGGCGAGGTGCCCCCTGCTCTCCTAGCAGCAGCGAGGGGGCACAGCTCACCATGGTGGCATGGGGCTTGCTTTGGCAGCTTTCTGTCTTGCCACACCGGGTTCCACTCCCTGGGCCACAGAAGCCCCAGGAAGAAGGTAGGAGGGTGGGGATCCCTGAGCCTGCAGCAGGCAGTCCACTCCCACCCCATGTACCAGTCTGGGTGGCATATGCCCCCCATCCCTCCCCAGGAGTGCAAGTAGCAGGGAGGAGCCTGCCCTCTACTACTGTCCCCCAGATGAGCTGCCAACGTCTCCGTCCTACTCCTCACCCAGGCCCTGCGGCTGGGCATTCCGGCCCTCAGCCCCAAGCACTGCCCAGGCAGAGCAGTATCCCCAGCCCTGCCCAACTTCCTCCCTCCCTCACTATGAGGCCTCAGTTCCCTCCCCCTCCACTGCCAGACTTATCTGTGGGAGCTGCTCTCCAGGCTGCCTGGTGGCCATGTGCGCAGGTGCACATGGTGCCCTGTGCTGAGAGCCCTCTGCTGCCCCCAGCCCCTTGCAGGCTGGAACTCTGCCACCCTGCAGGGGGAAACCCAGCGTTTCCCATGGTTTTCTCCTTAATGAGAAAATCCAGGTTTTACCATGTTATGATAATACCCTGACCTACTGATGAGAAGTAGCATGCAAAATGGGTGTAAACAGTAATTTATTTCTGCTTTCTCAGTCAGCTGGAAGATTATTCTATACAGAAATTTTAATTGTGGTGCCTGCTACTAAATGGGAATAACAAAGATAGGTTGATGTTATTTAATGTTTGAGTACATTGGTAAAGTACTTACTTATTGTATTCCCAGAATATAACAAATTTCTCTAATTAATGGATTTAACTTGACAAAAGAATGAACAGAAAAGTGTGTTAGATAAACACCCCCCTGGCCTTGCTTAGCTGCAGGTCTAGTAGAGGAGGGAAGGTCTTAGTCTTTACTGCCTTACACAACCAAAGAAGGATAACAGCAATCTAGTTTAAAAGGGGGCAAAGCTATCTGAGAATAAGGCTAAGGCATAGGAAGCAGTCCTGGCTGCCTGCCAAAATAGATAAATGAGGAGGATAAGCCTCTCTGGCAAAGGAATTAATTTATTCATTTCATTCTCTGAAAGGATAGGAATGAAATGCCTCTGAATATGGACTAATGTATGCTTGGAGCAGCTTCAAAGCCTCTAGCCACATTTGCTACACTGTTACTGTAACTGTTACTGGCTCTTGGTTCTGTAGCAATTGATTTGTAGTGATAAAGGTGTAGCAAAATCTTTCCAACCTTGCCCACCCTTCATTCATTCGTGCTGTCTCCAGCAACCCTGTTACATAATCCCCTTCAAAAGTTGATCAAGCTCTTATCTTAAAACCAATTAAGGGATTTTGACTCCCCCCCCCCCCCCCCCCCCC